ATGTCTAGTGAGGTGATATAAAGAGCAACAAAGTTAGTGTAAGAGTCAGAATGTGGTGGATAAACAATTCCATTTCATTTGGGAAACTGGACTTTGTGTCAAACCAAAAGGTCAGCGGTGATTTTTGTTGACTTCCTCTTTTTCAATATTATTTTCATTTTCAGGGGCAGTTTTGTTATGTTCAAGCAAACATATCCCATTTTAACAAGCATTTTAACAAATCACAAATGTGTTGGAAAGTCAACATCACGCTCACTCACACCCAACCCAAAGCTTTAAGACTAGTTTTAGATGAAGTATTTTTCCTCATTTACAAAGCTGTGACATCACAACAACCATCTGGTCAGATTCACCTGTGAGACTTGAGCAGTTTTAAGTCTGATGTTCCAGGAAAGACACCAACATGGTCATAAGACTGTAACAAATGAATGAATATGGAATTGCAAAAAAACCCCAAAAAAACTGCAGTGAGCCAATATTCAGAAATACCCGTTTTAGAAAATACAGCCTCTCAGCAGAAATAAATATGTTTGCAGCCTAACACAAAAAGCCACTTTGCATTTTAGCTGCACAGCTCAGGTCGAGTGGTTTAGAGATAAAGAAGAAGATACACTAGGCCAGGGGTCTCGAACTCCAGGCCTCGAGGGCCGGTGTCCTGCAGGTTTTAGCTCTCACCCTGGGTCAAGACACCTGAATCAAATGATTAGTTCATTACTAAGCCTCTGGAGAACTTCAAGACATGTTGAGGAGGTCATTTAGCCATTTAAATCAGCTGTGTTGGATCGAGGACACATCTAAAAACTGCAGGACACCGGCCTGGAGTTCGTGACCCCTGCAATAGGCAAAGGATGTTGACTACGGAGCTGTTAAGCAGGAGGAAAAGGGGAAGACCCCAAAGAAGGTTTATAAAATTCAGGAGGCTATGCAGAGGATTAGATAGAGCTGGAGGCAGATGATCCATCATGGTGACCTCTAAAGTGAAGCTGTATCACAGGGTCAGCCCTTTATCACCCTTGCTAACTCTAAACCAGGGGTGGGCAACTCCAGGCCTTGAGGGCTGGTGTCCCTGCAGGTTTTAGATGTGTCCTTGATCCAACACAGCTGATTTAAATGGCTAAATTATCTCTTCAATATGTCCTGAAGTTCTCCGGAGGCCTGGTAACGAACTAATCCTGTGATTCAGGTGTGTTGACGCAAGGTGATATCTAAAACCTGCAGGACACCGGCCCTCGAGGCCTGGAATTGCCCACCCCTGGTCTAAACGGTACTATCCTTCACAAAATAAACATCAACATTTCTGATAAGACTTGGACCACGAACTCATTAGGAACCTTCCAGATATCTGTACACCAAGATTTTATTTTGAAACTGGAAGTTTTGCCCCTGTCAACCATTAGAAAGAATCCAGTTTTAAGACACTTCCCCATTAATTAGGGCTATAACTTGTGTTACAATTCACTCTGAGAGGACATGAGCAAGCAAAACCACCAAGTTACTGGTTAGACATGATTCATAACCACAATCTTTACATCATGATGGC